GATCAAAAATCGGCCTGATGGGCGCCGAGAAAACGACCGTTTTCATGCAAGTTTTCCCAACAGTCAACGGAAAATATTGCCATTATCAGCTTACGATTGTTGCGGTATGCAATAATATGGACAGCGGTCACTTCGGTGTTATAGTACGTATTTATTGCTTACTGGTCATATTTAATACTTCACCAAAAGACGTGTCTGGAAATTTATACCAGTTACACTTTGTAACTTTTGCGTCTTTTTATAAAACATCATAGACGATGTTTTCCAAGTTTAAAATGTGTTTTCATAACAAACAATTTATGAAATTATATTTTTCATTTTTTTTTGGTTTTTATTTTTTTATTTTAGGTCATTTTCGTGACTTTCATAACTATTTTTTAAGAAGAGTAACGCTGAGTAAGGGCATTTTTTAGTTATTTTTAGCAATTGAAAGAAAATGTATAGTTTAATAATCTGTGATTATTACGTTTTTCTTTTTTCAATTTATTTTTTTTAATGTGTAGGTTTGAATATTGCCATGAAACTTAATTTTATTTAACCTACAAAATTACTTAGAACAAAATTTCTTAGTTTCCTATACCAAAATCAGTTTTGAAATTCAAATTTAAATCAAGAACACTCATGTTTATACATTTTAGTTTTTAATTTTAAAATCAATAAAATTGATTTTTATAGGTTTTTTAGGGCATCAAAATATGGGCCCTAATTATATACACGTATGATGTAACCTAATGTATCGACAGTGGAATGGCCAAGTGATGTAATACCACTGTATGTAACCTACACTGTCAACGAAATCCAAGTTTCAATTGATTATGACAACAACTTAATAAAATACCTTCCTCTTTTTGCCCAAATATTGTAAATCTCAAGTATCGTAAACCTCAAATATTTTTCCTAATAAAAATAAAAATATTTTACTTGTGACTTACCTTCTCCCTAATTTCGTATACGGTAATTTGAAGGTATTTGCCGTGGCCTCGACTAACAATATATCCCGGCCTGAAATTTAATCCCGTGTACCTATATGTATTATATTCAATTGAATATTATATTTATATACTTAGTACCTACATATATATTCAAATAATTATTTAATTGTTGATTAAGATGATTTATTACTTTTTAGGTATTAACCATTCTATAGTTGTGAAGTGAGTAGAGGAGTTTATGATAGGGGAATATTAAAATATTATAATAAAGCAACTGTATATAAGATAGGAGAAAATATTATTAAATAATTTAAAAGAAAACAATTTATTATAAAAAATTATTAATGTATTATGCATACAATATAAAACCATTAGGTGACAAAATAAAATAAATATATTTTTAGAAGTATTTGCATTAGTTCTGTAAGTCCAATGGGCTTATTAAAATATTATTTTTTCCTTCTATCTAGTATTATATTCATGTTCACCTAATCTCATTTATATATTTTTTTCGTATACCATAGTAATAGTACATTTTTTTATACAACGCTTCCAAATTAAATACATTTGATAATATCATTATAAGAAATTTGTTTTAAACTATAACAAACAAGAAACAGTAAAATGAGTTAGTTTGTATCCTAACAAATATTACGTCGAAGACATAAAAATATTTAACTTACATTTACATACCAAGTTTATACCAGGAAAATTAATTAATTTTAAATAAACTAAACGTTAGTTTTTACTTAATTTCAGGTAGACATTAAATATACGTACACAGTACATGGTTACAGTATACGTTTAATAAAATTTAGAAGTAGATAGGTAGTTATGTTTCTATTATAAGCTAGCTGGCCCCATGCACTTCGTTGCCCTTTAAAAATGCCAACTCTATATGATTTAAACTTTGTTCAATTCGTTATTTAATATTCTGTGTAATGGTGTTAAAACTCTTTAAACTCAAAATACTTGCGAAAGCACCACTTAAAAATGTGAATTTTTGAAGTCTTTCTTTGTGCACACTTGCATGATGGTAGGTACGAAGGTACCGTAAAAATTTCAAACCTCAAGCTATCGTTATTTAGGCTCTAAGTTGATCAGTTAGTGAGTCAGTCAGGACACATTCGATTATTTTATATCATAGCCACCCGCCCATACGACTCACTTGTGATTGTGAGGGCAGTATATTCTAATGCGATGGGTTGTGACTTGTGGATTTCAGGCGATGCTTGTAAGTGTAGAATTTCTAACTCAAAAATTTCAAAATTACACCAAATCCTTCATTTTTATTTAATCCAACCTACAGAAACACATTGTGTGACAAAGTGCGTCGGATACAATGTGCCATCCGGTGGTTTTTGATATAGCTGTATAACCTGGCCTAGCCAGGAAAAAAATAATCAATTAATAGGTACAAAATACTGTGTTATATAGTGGTATATCTTGGTTTTGGTGTGACCCAGTTCAAATTGTAACACACCAAGATTTAATATACAGAAACCTTCATGGGAGTGTACTCAACTATTTCCCAAAGTTTCATAGCAATCGGACATACATTCGCTTTTATACAGGTAGGTTTATTTAAGATAGTTGTCCCCCTTGGACTTCATTACTATCTAGTAAAAAGTTCCTCCACTTATATGATTCAAACGTTGTGGCAAATACTTAAATCTGATAACTCAATACCCGGTAGAATGATGTTCAAAATTTAAAAAAAAATTTAAGTTTTACTTTGATTTTTAACACATTAATCATAACATTGCACATTTATTAATCTTACAGGACAGAGTTTATTTTTATAAAGATTAAGCCTAAAATTTAAACTTAAAAATCACTTGATGACTTTCTTTTTTTTTAACATAAATAACGTTATTATGGCTTTAATAAAATAGCTAGGTGTATCGCACTTCCGACTGTTTTTTAAATCTATTAATGACTGATGTTTTTATAGTAGCTTTAAATCATATCCAGCCATTATAATATAAATTGAAATAAACCACTTCCCGTTAATTAATGCCATCGTTATCTTCATTAAAGGTTTTTAACATGGCAATTTTGATAGTTTTGACCAAATGTAAAATATAGGTCTAAAATTACATTCAATCATACATTTTCTGTAACTAAGAGCAACCTTATAAAAAACACAAACATTATTTGTTCTTGAAATAAATGATATCTCTGGGTTCTTTTTATTTTCATTTTTCATAAGAATCTATGATTTTTTTTAACAAAATAGGCCTATGTTACTTAGTCTTTAGTTTTGTATAAGTGAAACAATTTTTGAAAATTGGTAGTTTTTGAGTTTACCCATTAGAAACAAAAAAATTTACCACTTTATAATATAATATTAGTATTAGGATAAAATAGTAATAATAACAATGTTGTATAGTAATAAATAAAAATAACAATTTTTTTTACCCCCTATACACAATTTTACCCATTTAGTATTTATAACATTATAGTATAGATTAATATTCACTCACCTTATTACATAACCTTTAATATATATGTTTGTCTGCTTTATCCAGAATCGATTGTATTGCTTTCCAAATATACACAATAAATACACAATATTAGAGCTAAAAAAATATAGTTATTATTACGAATGTTTTATTAACACGTTGAGTGCCACGGTGTTCGTGAAGTGCATCGTGCATGGTAAGTTCCCGCACCAAAACTGTGCCTCAACAACGACGGTCGACTGCGTGTCGACATCGGCTCCTAGAGCCAGGTTAGGTTAGGTTATTTTACCTCGGCAATTTTACCTCGGTTTAATAATGGTACCTATAGATTAAAAAAAAACACGAGAAATCCTAATGCTCTTATGACCCAGCTCGTTGTTAAATATTAAATAATTTACAACAACCCGTCCTATGGGCTACGGCCTACAGAGAGCAATAGCCTATTCGCTGATTCTAACGAATTTCTGTAAGATTTCGATAATACGACTTGTTGTTTTTGATTTAGAACGTATTAGTACTAGTATGTAGCAGTGTATATTTCAACCTAAAAAACATGCTGCAGGCGATAGTATAGAAAATATGCGTGGCTAAAGTAGGTACTAGCCGGTATAACTAGATAAAACTAAAACGGGTATATATCCTCAAAGTATTAAATAATTGCTTCCAGGAAAAAGAGTAGTTGTATTATGATTATGCTGATTAAAGCAAATCGGTTTCACTATCAAAACACTACCTAGTGACGAAAAATGTATATTTTCTTTTTAAATTGCTCTAAAATATTCATTTTATTTTATATTTTACACTCAAAATTAAACATATTTATTGCTAATTTATTTGTGTTGAATACGGTTATTTATATTTTGATGTAGTACTATAAATAATTAAATAGGTCATGTCCTTATTTTCAAGACATTAAGTGTGTAATTTTTTTGTGAAAAAAAAACTATTTTCAAAATATTTAAAAGCTAAGATAATACTAAAATAAATGGGTAATTGATAAAAAAAAATTAGTAACTAAATTATTTTCCAAATAACTATATGCATATTTATTTTACCTAATAAATTAAATAAATGTTGTTAAAACGTAAACTGTTAACTGTAAACTGTTACGACGTAAAAAACAATAATTTTTAGAATTTTTCATTACTTATTCACAACTTTTTGGGGAATGATGACAAATATATTTTGTCAAATATCGTTTAATTGTCCTTATGTTACCGTACTTAACCTAAATAAAGCTTTTATGATACTGTAATTTACGTATGTTCATATTTATGTCAAATCCTCAAAAATAGGATTACTTATTACTACTTATTTACAAGGCGAAATAGGAATAATTCACAACTATATTTAAAAATCGCTTTTATTAAGTGTTTCGGTTGATAGTAGGTGGTATATGTAGATAGGTACATATTGTACTACTAGAGAATAACACGCAAGGTAATACTAGATTCATAGTCGTTATAGTTTCTTGTGATATTTGCATTTTTAGTAAAATAAATAGGTACAAAACTTCAATACTCAAACTATATATTAAATTATATTTGATAAAAAAATCAAGAATCGTTTAAAAAGCTTTATAAAAATATTCAAAAGTTAAAAATATATTCCCTATCTTATCATGATACAAATAATTATTATTCATTAAACCATTAAAACATAAAAATATTTATAGTCTACTCTATAACTAGCCATCAAGACTGTGTTTATTATATAAGTTCTAGAGTCTAGGATAGTATAAAAAGTTATTCATTTAGTTAAAATAATACAAATTACAAACATAATTGATTTAAAAAAAAAATAAGTATACGCATACCTATTATATATTAAAAAGGTTATTATTGTTCTTCGTTTAATATCTCCATGGTGGACGACCATTATTAAGTTCTCTTTTACCGGCTGGACGTGTTGGGATTAAAGGTTCTGGAGTAATTGTACCTACTAAAATAGAACAAATAATAAAAATAAATTTATAAAAATATACACATATTTATTTCATTTGCATTTAGTTGTTTAAATAGAATCCTTATAAAGGTACAATAATTCAAATCTAGGTGTATAGTACCTACCATATAGTACCTACTATATATAATATTATTATATTATTATTATAATAATTATTATCATTATAATTTTCATACAAATTGAAGTTATTTTAAGTACATTCTTTATGTTTTTTTTTTATTTTTTAGGTCATATCCTAAATGCATTATTTAAAATTGTTTTTTTAAAATTAACCTTTGTAATTGTTTTAATTGTATATGTTTTGTAGATTACATTAAAACTTAAAAGTTAGAGCTATGAAGATCTAAGAATATAATATTGATATAATGATATACATTTTATTTTTAACTTACTCGTGTTGCGTCGATTAACAACAGGCACAGAAACTGACTTCATTTCTGAAATAAGTTTTTCTAACTTGATGCACACAACTGGCTGATCTATTGTGTGTCGCCGACATATTGGACATGACTTGTTAGTACGCATCCAATTGTGTATGCATTTGAAACAAAAAACGTGGTTGCATTTCAATACTGATGGCTAGTAAAATAACAAAATAATAAATAATGGTTAAAATTAAACGAAACACCTATTCATATTTTACAATTTTTATTTTACAATATTACTTACACAACATTTTTACTAAGGGGCACTTTTAAAAATATGTGGTAGGAAAACTACTCAAAAAAATGTATTGCAATCTATCTCGATTATTATCTTGACATTTTCGCAGCCGAGCATAATTATTTATTTTTAATGAGATGTGAGGAATTTATGTGAGTATCTTAGTTTATAAGTGCTAAAAATTAATTAATTGAATATTTCCATTCGTTAGGTAGTGAAATAAATTCATTTTTCTGGCGATACTTCATCCAACAGATTATATACCCTACATAATATTTTAATATATAGGTAACATGTATATTATGCATCAATAAAAAACTTGGTTTAGATCATTTTTATAAGCAAATATTAAGTTCAGTACGTAACTCAATTAATAATATTATATATTATGCATAGTTTATAATCTTAATAAAACAACCGCAATCGAGGTCTTTGGATCGCTTAAAGTAGTTATGTAATTTATATCTTATGTGTAGTGTGTAGTGTGTACCTATATCCCGAACTCCTTTAGTTCTAAGGAGTTGTGCAAACACGTGATATTTTTTTGTCAAAGACTACATATTTTAAAGTCAGTATTTAATAACGTGCTAAGCATACTGTTATAAAAACAAGCACTTAAAAAAAAAGTTTTATATTCTCAATTCATGAAATAGTTTAACATTTAAGGTTTAAACACATAATGCTTTTTACAAGGCATTTTTTTTATTCTAGAACGAATTTGGGAGAACATCAAAAACATACAAATTACAGAAAATATTGCTATTATGAATTTATTATAAATAACGACAAATCGGCCAACGTGACCCAAAAATAGAGTCTTATAATATTTTACATCCATATAACAGTCTCCTAAAATGTAATTAATTTAAAAGAAATATTCTGTTGTTGTTTTAACAATATTTAAAATCACTCAAGTAGTGTCAGAGTATCAAATTTTAAATGTAAGTATTAATTTGTATCAATTAACTTTATGATTAATATCTCTCATTTTGATAACGTCCAAAAAATAGAATAATACCATTCAAAGGGATGTTTTACAGAACAATTGGTAATAAAAAGCGGGTAAATGGATGTTACTCTATTGTACATTAGATGTCTAGGAGGTCACTGCAATGGATGGTATTAAATTTGAATTCAATGATATCATATCATTGTATACGAAAAACGATTTTATGCGGAGACAGTATGTCAGTCTAGGATATTTTATATTGTCATTACTTATTATATTAATATGGTAACTGGTAAGTAAAGTTAAATTAATATTATTCTTAAATTATCAATGATGCTGGAAAAATATTAAATGATAAACATTATACTTAGTGTCAATATGCTATTTTGTCAAAATTTGAACTTAAAATGTCTGTAAACAATAACTATATTTATATATTTATTAGATTTTTTAGTTACGGAAAATAGTGCTTAACACTATTTACTACTATTACACTTTGTTTTAAATTTTCAATCCTTAGCTATAAAAATTGAAAATGTTATACATTTTTAACTACGAAATCCTCTTCAATTTTCAATTTGATAAATATTATCGAAATTTAAACTTTAAATGCTTATAAAAAAAATGTATGTAATTTTAATATTTTTTAACAGCTATTGTAAAAATATATCAAAAGTCTAGTATCAAATTTTCATGCTTTTTGTCCCAACTCATAATATTTTATTGACATTTATAGACAAATAAATGGAAAAAAAATGAAAATTGAAAATGTCCGTCGACAGCTTATTAAAATGAGTCAAAATATTTTGAAAAATGTATGAAGTATATGAATCGATAAAATAAACATATGGTGTAAATTTCAAGTGTCTACAGTAATTCGTTTTTGAACAAAATAAGAAAATCTCTACAAGAGAAATCTAGTGAAAATCCAATATTGTAAAAATTTCAACTTTTTTTTTTTGATAAAGATAGACAAGCTTGTAAGGAATCTTGTATTTAATTTTTAAATCTTAAATATAAATAGAAACATTTTTATGAATTTCTAACTAAATATAATTTGATAATTTTCGTGATTTTTACGAATTGTGTCAAAATTCTAAGTTTAAATGGCCATAAAAAATTATTGTGGATTTACGCCGATTTAAGCTCAATTTTTTTTTAATTTCCATTAAAAAAATCACAAGGAACCTTCGATTAAATTTTCAAGTTTTTTGACAGAGTGAAAATTGTTTTATCGACTTGGGTTTAGAAACACATATAATAATCGAAATTCTCATATGCCTATAAATTGTTCAACACAAACCAAAATATTTTGAAAATTTCATGGTGTATAGTGTATACCAAATGCTTACATAAATATCCAGTGAAAATTTCACGTATCTACGGTCATTATTGTTAGAGTTACACTAAAAACCCAAACAATTGGGTAAAAATTGCCGTTTTTCCTTAACTTTTTGTTTGCTCTTCCTGTGGCTTTTAAAAACTATTGGGAATGTTAAATGTTGACCTCCCTAATGCACCAACTAGATTAACTTTCCTACCAGAAAAGTTGCTGTTTAAGAAAATCGAAGCACTTTTACTGCAAGAACCCTTGATGACAGACACAAAAATAAAATAAATAATATTTTATTGTGCGACAAACATTCAATGAAAATGTCATGTATCTCAGGTACTATGGTAATTTTTTTTAGAGTTGCACTAAAAACCAAAATTGATTTTTTCGAAAACTGGTTATTTCTGCTGTTAAAGAAAATCGAAGCGTTTTTACTGACCCAAACCTTGATGAGTGATGACAGACACAAAGATAAAAAAATAATAAATAAAAAATCCACATCATTATAAAATACATGCATCTCTCAGCTCAGAATCTAAAATCTAAAAAATATTTTATTCTCTAAATCATTTAAACTTCAAATGTTGACGGAACTGGATATTTAAACGAAGAAAATCAATTTAAGTTATTTGCATGTCCTTCAGAAGTATTATTTGTGGGGACTTTTATGTGCTCATATACATATTATATAATACTATTTTACAATAGAATATATTATTATATTTAATCAAATTTGTGATTTTGATGACTGATCGTTTCGAAGTTGAAAGGTGTAACGCCATCTAGTGGTTATCTCAAACGTCACTAATTCTAAACAAAAATTTCTGCGATGAGATTTAGATTCCATTTAACTCTATAACTATATACAGTAATTGATATTTTTGTATTTTACTATTATTCATATTTTGTACCAGGTTTCTTTCTATTCATTCAAATTAATATCTTTTCACTTTTTCAGTAAGTACCCAAAGTTTAAGTTTTTAAAAAAAAATTATATAATATATATTTAGCACCTTAGGTAGGTACATAAAACAGCACAAATACTAAATCTCTAATTAGGAACTATTTGTGTTGAAGGTATTGAGTTCTTAAATAATTGTTCAATTATAAATTATAATAATATTAATAAATTATACATGGCCATAGTTTCATACTAGATTATTTTACTATGTATATTGTATAATCAATGTTACGACCATACGAAAATAAATTGTACTTAAATAATTATCTTCTCGCTTTAAAGTGGTTACAGTACTTATAGCTTATGATTAATATTTATTTCTAAATCCCAGATTTCTGTAAAACGAGGTTACGTGATTTAATTCCACAGATTTTAACTCCAACATTAATTTTATAATTTGAAGCGTTTAGGTAGGTACTTACATTAATATTTGTTCAAGCCTATTTCCTATACCTACATAAGAGATTACATAAATGACATGTCAATTTGTCTAAATATTGTCTAAAAACAATTTATCTATCATTTATATTTACAAAAAAAATGTTTTATTTTGAAAGTCGAATTCAAAGTAAAATACTAATAAAATATAAAACCAATAAGTCAAACTTTTTGTAATAGGTGATTATTTAGATTAAACTCTAAGATTACTCAAAAACCATACACAATTATTTTAGGTGAAAGCGTTTTATTTATGTTCCTCGTGGGTCGGGAGAAAAAACAAATATCGAGCTTACATCTTCTTAAATACTATTTATAAATACAAAAAACAACTAAAAAGTCCAAATACTTTACATTTAAAAACTAATATAGTAGTTATATATATAGAACTATTAAACACATACACATTATAACCATTTATGATATAAATTACTTATAATTGACTACAAAATTTAGGTACATCATGTATTTTGTGCCAAACACCATAGTATTGATATAATATTATCGATTACTTTTAAATTGTATTAGAAAATAATAATTTAATAATTTCAAAACACATGGAATTCGAATTATTTCGATACATATATTTTAAATTTTTGGTGACAATTGAGCAAACCAAAGCAATTTTATTTAGTTACATTTTTAGAAAATATGATGTACTTTCCTACCAGCTATTAGGTTTCATAATAGGTTAGGTACCTGTACAAAAAACATTATTTACTAATACATCATAGAATATAGATATTAATGCTGAGAAAGGTACTCCAGGTTCCCACTCTAAAATCTTGGATGCACCTCAGCCTATGCCACTACTTCCTACTATATTGGTAGATATTTATCGGCAGGGGTGCACAGTACAAGCACAATTAAAATTCACCACAGTGGACGACGGAGTAGAATGACTTGTATATAATATATCGTCACACGATTTATACAGATACTTTTATCGATTCCAAATAAAATCCATAACAATTTTACCTGTATATTTATTTGAATTGTATACTAACCTTTTCAAAAATGTCGAAGCATATCGAGCAGGTTAAGTCGTTAAAATCTAACATTTTGGCAATAATTTTTTTCTCCGTTTCCGTCGACTTTGCTTTACGTACTTTTATATCTATAAAAAAAAATTATAAACAAAGGATCTTGGTATTTATTGTTTAATGTAGGTAGTGTATTATTGATAGATGTTGAAGTATATATTGATATACATTATATTGACATAAAAAAAACACTCAATTCATATAGAGCAATATCAAACGTAGGTAGGTTATATTACTTATAATTAACTTATTGATTCCTCAATGCACAAATATTTATCCAATTATTTAGATCTACAATAATTATTAATTATTATTTTGTACAAATCGCGTAATTCATCAAAAATACTTTTATAAAAATATTAAATAGTACTTTTTTCGATACCATAATTTATTTTTTTAAATAATATTTTAAGAAGGGATAAAAACTGTTCTTGCATTTCAACTTGGTTCTCTTCTGGGTAGAATGAATGTTTCTATATTAAGCATATAATTAATAACCTAATGATATACCTAATAAGTATGATAATAAGTAATGAAAATACACAAGAAAATGTGTTTCTTAAAATTAAGGGGAGGTTAAAATAATAAAAATCTTTTTATTAGTACGATTTAACAAAAATGTTGTTATGAAGTTTTCATTAATCATCACAATATGTTATGTGAATTCCTTATACTTTTAGGATATAAGAAGGTACTTGTATTTCACAATTTGAGAAACCTATTGAAAGCAGACGAGTTTTAAAAAATCTACACAAATAATAATATACTATAATATTCTATGCATTATGAGCAAGTGAACAACGTAATATTAAGTATTGCTATTATTATTTATTAGGATTATTAGATTATTATGAAATAATGTTCCGTTAAAAGTATAACATATGTATTTAACTACACTCAATTTTTTATGTAATTAATAGAATTTAGAAAATATGTATAGGTACATACCATATTACATACTATACAGTATACATTTATTATAACAGATATGTGTGAATTAAAAAATAATAATTATTCAAAATAATATTAATTATCCGTTACATTTTTCAGTCATAATTTATTATTGAATAAACACGGGAAAACGCTCTATCTAATTGTGTAAAAAAAAAAAATGAATCGTTATGAAGCTAAAATCAATAAAGGTGAAATTGTATAGCACAATAATATAGGTAAGTACCAAAATAAATAAAGGAAGGCAGTTTGGTAGAAGATGCTCATTAAATTTAATAAGCACAACTAATATTGTTTGCACATTTTATATACTAATATAAAAATAAAATAATAAAATAATTGCTTTATCGTTATTCGTTATTAGTGCTCGGTATATATAATATTATAATATACTCTACAATAATCTTGGTTTTGTAGTACCTAGTGGTATATAAACGGTAATCATGAACAATTATTATTTTAAGTCCGTATTTATGAGTTTACTCTAATCTAACAATGCCATTAATTAATTATTACTTAGGTAACAATATTAAAACGCATATTATAGAGATATCTCTGTTTACGTAAATGAATAACAGAAAAAGAAATCTAACGTTTACACCAATACCTATAAAAATAAACCGTGTAGTCCTTACGAAAATCGAATCCACAATAATTACAGAACGACTTTGGGTAAGCTCCTATTATAATAATATACGGAAGGTTGACTGCCGTGTAATCACTTGTTTTCCATCATCGACTATACTTACATCATAAGTATAATAATATGTAAAAAAGGAAAATTGTGGAGGTCAATTCGTTATGCATAATATATACCTAAGATCATAGGCGAAACTGCGGATCGAGCAGTCGGGCTATAGCCTGACCTAATACTGACTGGATAACACTTTATAAGCTAATAGAATTTCAAATTAAAATTTTAAACGTATTTAGTAATTAGAATTTTTTTTTCTTATTTATCATTATTGGCCTTATACTATTTTCTTTAAACGACTTTATTTCGTAAGTCTATCGTAAACTTACTATCGAGTACCTACCTCGTATAACGATCGAACGATACACGAGACCGACGCTCGAGCGACGCAAGTTTAGTCACACCACAACTACTAAGGTGAAAATAAAATTTGAATTCATTGCTGGGTCTACTACTCAATTTCTAAGTCAGTACCTATATAATAATATTCCGTACGACATAATATTTTTGTAATTATAATATATAATACATTCTACGTGAACAACTTACGTGATACGGCTGATCCTAAAGTGCTGATGCGGTTATAATTGGACATTTCAAATAGGTAGGTACTTAAAGTTTGAACAATCGACGAGCGAACTACACCACGAGAGCCACAATAATGCAATGGACGTATAATTATTTGCCGTCCTAATCCATTCGATCGAGGTAGGTAATCGTACATCGCGGAATAGATAAGGTAACCTTATAAAGATCGGTACCTAATCGACAACGACAGAAGGGGCGTATATTATTTTAACGACATTTAATTGTGGAACTCAAGATATCAGGTAAGAACAACTAATGAGTACCTACCTATGTAAAACGGCCAATGAAGCTTAGCATTATTATGTTTGAATTTTAATTAAAATATTATATATAATTAATAATATATAAACGTAACATTGTTGGTGCACCAGCCACCAACTTCCTCGAGGGAGGGGTCAAAAAGCGCTTTACACATCCGATTTTTATTTTTCCCCATAATATAGGTCTATAGATGCTACACGCCGGAATACATGGTGATTACTGTAGTACCTATTAATTATAACTTTCCGGTTATAACTGATTATAAATATACATATCACTTACCCATAGGCGTAAATTTGGTTAAACATCTACTATACTAATATCAATTAACACGTTTATTAATATCGATTATTGAACTTACGAGGTCAAGTTAGGAAATACTTTGGAGGGATTCAGGAGTCTTTAGGGGGTTACCCCCCCCCCCCAATTTACTCTTATACTCTTACCAATGTTTTCATTTAATAATCTAATATTATATTATGATTCATGTTTATTTGAATATAATAGTTTGTTCTACTTTTCAGCAAACTATATGGATATTTAGGTAATTAAATAAATAAATATAATATTAAAACGAGTACCTAAGACTTGCATCATTTAAAATTTCAATAATTTAATTATTTAATACAATTTATAACAAACGCTAAACAACATCACTACCTCGTCATCTAGACTATATTTACTTTTAAATAAAAAAGCTTGTAATTTATACATAATTATATAGTAGTAAAGTACCTACTATACCTATAGCCTAAAGCGTGTCTACTAATCGTGCTCTCGCGCTCGTGCCTATCATGCACGTGCACAACTTGTGCAAAATATGACAAATTATAACGTAGGTATATTTATAAATGTACTTAATATCAATAATATTGCAGTTCCTTTAAAAAATTTTTTTCTCAGTTATTAGTTTCTGTTCCTGCTACAACAATAGGTACCTAATAATAATTTTTTTCTAAATTTGGTTGTCCAACTTTTTATTTTCACTTGGTTTTTGGATTCATATATTAAGCTAGTGCACGACCTATGACCTGTGACCAACGCCCGCGCCCATACATAGACTAGCCTATGGTATCAATTTTGGATTTTGGTGTAGTTCTAAAAAAATTACTTTAAATACATACAATTTTCACTGATATCATACGTTTATTGTATAAATTCATATACTTAATAACATTTTCACAATAATTTGACTCGTTTTGAACTGTTAGAGGATATTTAAAATGTAAAACTTTAAGTTTTTTATCTATGTATGTCAATACAATTGACATATTATTGTCACGATAGAAGTTAAAAAATATTAAAAATACATAGGCACCATTTTATTTTATAAGCACTTAAAATTCAAATTTTGACAACATTTATAAAACTGAAAATGTTCAAATTTCGTAGTTAAATATTTATGAAATGTTAAGCTTTCATAACTAATAGGATCGAAAATTTAAAACAAAGTTATGTTCAATTGTAGTTATTTTTGTAACCAAAAAATTAAAAAATATATTTACACAGTTTTTTTTATGGTTATTTTATGTTCAAATTTAGATGAAATTACATATTAAATAACCAAGAATAATGATTTAAGTTGTTTTGTAGTAATTTAAAAAAATTATTCGTGGATACTTGAAACTTCTAAAGAATATTATTATTTACAAATATAATAATATGCAATATCATTAATTCAACTTCAACCTACCGACTACATTAGTAATATTAACAATAGAAATAAAATATAAAATATCTGAGGCCGATAAACAGTCTCCGCTCAGAATCATTTTTCGTATACAGTGATATTATATCATTGAATTGAAATTTGACACTATACATACAGAACTACAGAAGTGACCACTTGTAACCTACTTTATAGGCGTATAGCAGATCGACATCCAATTCTTATAGCTAAGGATTAAAAATTTAGAACAAAGATTCTCATAAAAATTTCTGTCGTGTTAGCACTTTTCCGAGTGATTACGTCGATAGACTATTGAGTAACCAAAAGAGTAAAGACCATAATATATATTAACTGGTTGCAGCTTTGTTCTCAAGAAATCGATATTGCTACCTAGACTTGAGACTTTTAATCCTTGACAACCATAAATTAACAGATTACAGATCAGATTCAAACATTTTATCATTTTATCGGTGGTTATAAAATATCCATATCCCCTCCCATAAATATTTGTATGCCTATAACTACGTCACTTCCACGCTATTCCTACTATAGTAAAGTTGTAGTAGGTACAATAATATACTGTATTGCTACTATAGCTACTAAGGTACGTGTCGTATTTAAAAGCTCTTTTAAGTCTTAAGCAAATACATAGTACTTATATATTAATATATTATACACTATATACTATATATAGTCATAGTGAACTATACATTATATTATGTTGTATAATTATTGTGGATAATACAGACATAGGTACACCGTAAATAGGCGTTATTAATCATATTCATATGATATATTGTATGACGCTATCTGGGTAGGAAATAGGAATAGAGAAATAACAATAAAATCAATTGATGAAAAAATTAAGATCACTTTTTTATTGTTAAAGACTTATCGAAAACTAAGGTTGTTTTGAAGGGAGGTTGAATATCATTTTTTAATAGTGGTAGGCGACCGGGTATGCTGCCTTGTAGGCTGGGATGTAAGTCTTTTCGTACTTTCCAGGCCAGTATTTGCCATCGTCTTCAGGGTAGCTCGGGTATGCGGCCTTGTAGGCTGCAGGGACGTAAGTCTTTTCGTATTTGCCTGGCCAGTATGAGCCGTCATCTTCATGGTAGCTCGGGTATGCGGCGGCGACATAAGCTGTTGCTGGGTATGTTGATGCCGGGTATGTAGCTGGTGCGTGGTATGCAGCTGCTGTTGCAGGATAGGTGTATGGGTAACCGGTGTAACTAGCGTAGGAGAACGATCCAGGGGCTGAGGCAGAGTAACCCAAAATCGCTGTGGACAAAAAAATAATCATTCAACGTCGGCATAATATTATAAGTTGATCCGATTCGGATTTACAAGAACTATTTCGAATCTTGCGAAGTATATAGGTATTATACTATTATATATAGGTGCACTATAGTATTAAAATGTATATTATCGGCACTCACGAGCTGGGGCAGCGGCGATGTAGGCGTGTTTCTTTGCTCTTACTCCTTCTTCGGCGGAAACGGAGTACACGGCCAAGGCGATGAATATCTGAAAAAAAATTGAAAATAATTCTTATTTGATGTCGTGAATAAAATATATATTAATATATTATTATGGGTAACAATATTTGGTATAAATTGTAGGTGCAGACATAAACTAGAGTGTATTTTTTTAACGACAAATCACAATGCGATATGTATTCGTAATTTTTATTTAATTTTTTAATATAACAATTAAATTGTAAAATTTACAATTTGTGTTCTGTATAGTGCTTTAGTTCAATAAAACAGAAGAAATCCATCATAATGGATATAAAATAATTAAAGGTAAATAAAAGTGCACTGCTTGGAAGTTTTTGTTGGCTTTTAAGCGAGTTTAGTAAGTACACAGCAGTGGCTCAACATTTAAAACTGAATCGTATTCAATACAAATTACAAATTTGACTGATTCGTTTTTCTTTTATATTATATATTTAGTTCGATTTATATGCTCATGAAAAGTTATATACCGTTTTACCGTAGTACAAATATTACATAATATATCTATGTTTTTCCTTACTCAGATAATAATATATTTAATAACAGAAGCTAGTTGGTTCAAGACATGTAAGTCTTGAGAATTTCTCGACAGTTGTTCGCTCACTAAATATTGTTGGTATATATATTTTTTAATCGTGCACTTATAAGCAATCGCGTTATAAATTATAATATAACGCCAAATATTGAACAAATATACTTTAGTAAACAGTTAACATCTAGGATATCTGGTTAAAATTATGGTAATGAATAATGATTAAGCATGTTTGGACAACAGATTGACGGTTATAATTGGTGAACTATTTAATAATCATATTGATCATACCCACAATATGATATCTATTATCTAATAATTATATTTGAAGGTCTCTGACTTGTTTAGACGCTATACTGGATCGAAATATTCGCTGTTCGTCAAGGAGAAATTACATTATAAAAACCTTTCAAGGGTCTAGAATTTTTCGAAAAATATTACTTTGGTACAACTGAAATTGACGTAGGAATTTGGATTTACTCGTATTATAATCGATCGTTTTAACATTGTATGTAGCTATATAAAAATAATAATCTATCAGCCGTACAAGTAACAAGTCAATACTATTTGCGCTGCGATGTAATAGTATGTAATATTGTGTTGTTAAAGTCACTCACCAGATATTTGAAAGAAGCCATTTCGTGTTTGGTGATCTTCTTACGTTGTCTACAACGAATCTGCAAACTTCAACCTGTGGTCGATGTGTATACTCGGGATGTGAGGAGATGTAATGTGATGTCGATGCCTGGTACGGCGGTCTTTATAAATAAACGGCCGGTACCTATCGGTATCCAGGGTGTTCCGGCTCCTACCTAATGTTCAGGGCGTTGCCCGTCCGAAAGGACAAAATCCGGATCATGCAAAAACAATATACATTATATACATATGTTATATTTATTTATACACACTGAACAGTGCATGGTCACAGTTAAACAGCGAGGCGACGTGACAGTGACCTTGGACATTGATCTTATAGATCGACCAGTCGCACTGTACGAAAATGTAATAATTTTTTAAGCAATTTAATAAAATAATAACGACAATGAAAAGCAGACACAAATTAGGCGTTGCCGGACATGATGTAGGTAGATTACCTAGTACTTACGCAGTAGGTGTTTCACCTACCTACTGCATGCGAGTGGACACCACACAATATTATAATTATCGTTTATAATATGGAAATATTATCCAAAATGTGACGTTGCACTTCGCGTAGAACGTGTTGAATACTCGTCTAACTCTTGTATGGCCTTATATCTAATATTATAGACAATAATAGACGACAGACGTATGTGCACAGTGATTGCAACAAAACGTGCAAGAATAGTTATTCAGGTTCACGGTGGTGGAGTGTTGTTGCGAGTAAATAAAAATTGCTTATATAATTGTATTATACTGGACTGGACACTTCTTGCTCGCAGTAAACTCGTGACGTACATAGTACATAATACGTATCCCTAGTACCCACTGTTTCATAGACATTTCTTGAAATCAACCTTTTCATGAAAAATTTTCGATTTTATGAAATATAGGTAAACGTCTTTTTCACACTTGGTTAAATATGAAATGTTTCATAAAACGGTCAATTTTTCATGAAATGGTCAATCTAATTTGATATTGCATAATATTGTTCACAATGTATGTAATCATTCGATTCGTGAAAAAAAACATTTACCACACAAAATGTATTTATTTATTTATTTATTTATTATTCATGTCATATTTAATACCATTAATTGTTTACATGAATATAAATTGGAGATGTATTTATATAACGATACGTTATTATAACTTATAATGACTTTAATTATTTAGTTATACATTACACAGTAATAGTTATAAATAATTAAGTCATTTTAATTTTTAATAACACTAAAAATAAATACTTAGTATTAATTTATTATTTTATAAACGACAAAAACAAATAAAAGTAAAGTATACTTTAAATGACTAATAATAATTGTGTGCTGTAGGTACCTAAATATTGTACTTCATTAAATTCAGATCACAATTTTTAATTAAACAATGTCAAATATTGAAGTGACTACACCAGTAGAATACCTATACATATATTCAACCCCTATCCCATGGTATTTTATGTACTATATGTATAAATGAATACAATTTTAAAAATATTTTGATATTTATACAATATATACCTATGTGTAATTTTTTTGTATAACCCTTCCCATTGAAAATATGTGTCTTATGTTCTTATCAATATTTTAGATTCTAGACGGAGTAGTGAGAATATTCATTTTTCAATAATGATTATAATATATGTGTTTCTTTTATATTTGACATCACCTTTTGGGGTAATAAAAATGCTCCTGTTCTCTACTTCGGCATATTTTCTAGTAGAAATGTGAATCTAGTTGGTACTTTGGAGTAAACAAAGAGGATAAGTGATAAGGAACGCTCTGCTGTACATAAGGTATCTAGAGAGTCACTGTAGTGGATGTGTTAAATTTGAATTCAATGATATAAAATCATTGTATACAAAAACGTCTGAGTTAAGGCGGTCTGAGACATCCTATAATATTACTAAGTAGGTGTATTTTTTGATATTATTGTGATTAAGTAATTTATTATAGTATCATCCATTAGTACTACAACAGGTCAAATTCATTTTAATCGAAAAAATTATATTTGTAAATGTCATTGTGTATTTAAAATATAATAATACATCTATACTAAAAATGTCAAGGTAGACAAGCTAATGAGAAATCTTGTATTATGTTTTCAAATCTTAAATATACAAAGAAAATTTTTTTATGAAATTCTTAATCGAAATAATTTGCAATTTCCTGTGATTTATACATATTTTGTTAAAATTTAAACTTCATGAGACGCTCACAAAAAATTATTATGGATTTACTCTCCACTTTTTTTAATTTCCTCTAACAACCGCTTACAGGGAAACTTCTACTACATTTTCAATTTTTTTAACTAAGCTTAAATTTTTTTGTCAAAATTAATCTGAAAAAAAACTATAATAATCAAAAACTCCATATGCCAATAGATAGCTCAACATGAGTTAAAATATTTTGAAATCTCATGGTATATAGTAAATAATACTGTAAACGTTCACTGAAAATGTAATGTATCTGCAGTCATTTTTTTCAAATATTTTTAAAAAACGTGTGTATGTTCAGCCCCCCCCCCCCAGCATCAAACTCTAGAGCCGCTGATTTCAACTACTTATAGTGTACAGACACCAAAAATAAAGAAAAAATACACTCATCGCTCCGCTCAAAATCTAAAAATAATTTTCAAAAGCGACGCGGAAAAAAAAATTAAGGACACCAGTGATTTTTATGTAAAATCATTGATTGAAAAAATTGGTTTTATTTTTTGGTTAACTCTAAAAAAATAACCGTAGTAGACACTTGAAATCTTCACATAATGTTTATATTAGTATTTTCTATACGTTATGCAGTTTTAAAAATATTTGACTCTTTTATAGAACTATTTTTAACCATAAGAAATTTTCAATTTCAATTTTAATAATGATAAAAATATTATAATATATTTATTATTCTATCACAAGTTACAATTTACAATTTAGATACATTATATCATATATGCAATATGCATAATACATTATACATATCGATTATAGAATGATAATAAGATGGGTCATCTCCAAAGGCATGAACTGGAGGAGAGTGATTCTAAACTAGGCTAAATACTAGGTATACATTAGTTATCTTGACCAAGTAAAAACTAAAAAAATTAAGACTATAAAGTATTGCCAAAAATTTAATGAAAAACTAATTGTGTGTGAAAGGATAGTTAAACTAATATTCGATAAGGTTACAATACATTTTTTATACAATTTAAAATTACTGAATTAATTACTTCAATTTAAGTTATGCTTTAAGTAAAATTGTGTAAATACCAGCTATGTATTTTCAGCTGTCAATTTTTATTAGTTTTTTTATAAAATCATTGTTGATAAAAAAAAATTTGCTTGGTCAAAAATATAATACAAGGTTCCTCATGAGTCATGAGTTGTTGTTAGTGAAAACTAAAATAAAGTTTAGAGTAAATCCACAATATCCTTCTATGGGGGTCTGAAATTAGAATTTTGACGAATTTCGTCGAAATAAAGAAAATGTCTATTTGTTTATATATATATATATTTGAAAGTTGAGATTTCCCTTACATTTCCTACCTTTATCAAACAAAGTCTACCGGAAAGTCAAATTAATTTTTTATGAGTGCTGGAAGTTAAAATTTTTTTACATAACATTCTTATTCCCCTGATTTCTTATGGAAAGTTTTTCTTATTTTGTTGTTATTCAAAAACTAATTTACTGCAGATGCTTGAATTTTGACCAAATTTTTATTTAGTCATTTCCCATAAATAATACATTTGGGAATTTTCAATTTTTATTCGCTTTTTTCAATAAGCTTGAATTTTTTTTGGCCAAAACTCAAAATCCTCGAAAATGTAATATTATGTTCCTCATATTAAGTAAACCTAGTTACGTTAGTAATTTAAAAATATTAAAAATACATGAGCATAAATTGTATAAGTATGTTAAGTTCAAATTTCATCATAATTCAGATTTAACTGAGGGGGGCAAAATAGGGCACTTGTCCCTCCCCAAAAAAAAGAACGAACTTGGAACTCGATAAATATTATATGGCCTATTCAAGATATGAAATAAATATAAAAATAAGCTATTTTTTCTATACTTATTAAAATGTTTTTTAATTCACTATATCATATATTCATATGAACAATACAAATATGACATGTATATTTTCATTTATATGTGGAAATAACATAAAAACTACTATCATATACATTTGAGGATTTTTTATTTTGACCCTCCCTAAAAATTTTACCTATGAGCGCCCATGTCTACTTTTGAATTTTATTTCCTATATAATATACAGGATGTAACAGAAAGAACTGACTAATGCAATAAATTTTGTTATAATCAATATATTTTTTTTATTTTATAATTTATAATCACTTGCGCTACATCATGTATAACATAAAAATGAATAATTTTATTTTTTAATATATAAAACATTTTAAGTTTAACTACATTTTTTTTTAGAAATTTTCAAAATAGCCAATTTGTGAGTCGGATTATAAGAAAAAATTTGATGGGAAAACATTTATTTCAGTCTAGTAGTTTATTTTTTAGAAATTTTTAAAACATCAATAATTTTTTGATTATATTCCTTTGGAACGTAATAACTTTTTTCAAAATGTAATTTTAAGAAAATTTGCTGACATGAGTACCTATATATATTAAATTATTTACTTTTCATATAATTTTAAAAATGTTGTCCTAAGTTAAAGTAGCATCATTTTTTTTTCTCGGGTCTATCTGATATCTACCTTTTGTATATATAACATTATATATATATAGGTACGGTCGTACGGAGTGCCTTGTTAAACTGTTGACTGCTTCCACGATTTTTTAATATAATATGCAAATTGAATTATTTATTATTGATTCATGATTGTATCTATTTATATGACCGTATTATTGTAATGAGCTTGATTTGGATAATACGTACCTACATATTAGTTTGTTGAACACGACGCGCGTGATTGCGTGAAGGTTTGTTTTTTACTCGGTTGTTTCATTTGACATTGTAGGAACGTGGTAGGGACGTTGTAGAAATCATGACGGAGGCTGATCAGAACACTTGAAACAGGAGCGTATGCTGTGATCGTGGTGGCCGCCGAACGAATTGCTACAAGCCTACAACTGCCGCCGCCGTCGCAACTCGC